GTGTGTCTTAACACACGTGCGGACACAACACACACACAATCACTTGTGGGGAAACTTGTGGTGAGTTTTGCATTGTTTTGATTGAATTCTGCATTCAATCACTTGATGTCTATTACAGGCCATCACTCAAAGCACTGCCCATTTGTGTCCAGTTGTGTCCACCCGTTATAATCAACTCCAATCCCACCGATAATGGGTCGCAATCAGGACACAGAGTGGCACCACTGGAAGCAATTCCCGACCGCGAGTGGTGACAAATTGATGGTCGAGTGTTTGCACTGCGGGAACAAACAGCTTAAGAACGCGACTAAATGTCGGGAACACATCACCAAATGCTTAAAGAGGTCCCAAGAAGTGAAACACGAGGTAAAAGATGCCAACAAATCATCGGATCCGTCGCTGCAAAACATTTGGCTCGAGTATAAACACGTGTCCGGATCTGGTGTACGATCTGTGGTCGAGTGTCTGCACTGCGGGAACAGACGGCTTAAGAACGTCACTAAATGTCGACAACATATTGTCAAATGTTTAAAGAAAGCGCAAGAAGTGAATAAAGTTGTAAAAAGCAGTGATGGAGAGCTCGTGGTCGCCGATCAAGCATTGGATCCGCCGCCGCCTCTGTTGGACAACGGAATGGTCTACATTTGGCGCCATTGGAAACACTTGTCGGGATCTGTTGTGCGATCAATGGTTGAGTGTCTGCAGTGCGGGAACAGAATGGTTAAGAACGCCACTAAATGTCAACAACATATCGCCAAATGCTTAAAGGGATTCCAAGAAGTAAAACAAGCGGTAGAAGACGGCTGCGATGTCGACGGCGTGAACGCCAATAAACCGTCGGATCCGCTGCCGGACAACAATTGGCTTCTTTGGAAAGATGTGTCGTCAGGCGTGCAGTCAGTGGTTGAGTGTCTGCACTGCGGGAACAGACAGATGAAGAATGCGACCAAATGTCGGAAACATACCTCAAAATGCTTACTAACACTCAATGTTAGGCACACATTAGCCGCTAAGCGGCTGATCACTAGTGATGAGTGTGTTGATCGTGGCGAAGGCCCTCCAGTTCAACAATACAGGCCACGGGTTTTCAAATCAGTTGATATCCACGACCTCTTGGATGAGTTGAGTGATGAGAATAAAAGACTTTTAGACGAATTAAAATTCGCTCAAAAATACATTGAATTTATGCAAAACTATAGAAAATGTCTATTAGTTTATAAGCGAAAGTGTGTTTGCGTTCAAACCATTGACAATAAGCCGATTGTCCAGCGATTGGAGAGCAGTTATGAAGACATTAAGACACAAATACAAAGAATGCGAACTCAAAGTATCGACGATTATAGGGATAGTGAAGAGGAATCAGTGGCTAAACGCAAGCAAAACAAAGCATTGATTGCATTCAACAACACATTTAATCGGAGCGTCATTTTGGCGAACAGTCAAATGGTGGCCACCGATGACGACCGGTCTTCAGTTGGCGGGGATTTCGGTGATAATGACAATCCCAGCGATGATTCTTATCAGGACTTTGAGCCCGAAATCAAGAAGAAGTCGGTCTCTCGAGAGCATACAAACGAAGAGTCGTTTAAATGTCAAGTATGTGACCGAATATATACCGATCGACAGTATTTTCGGGAACATCTGGCCATTCATGCCGTCAAACAGGAGACCACTCTCGACGGCGACAATCAATCCAATCCGAGTGTTGGGTTGATTGACTACAGGCGAGTCGACGGTCGGTTACGATGCCAATGGCGTGATTGCGACATGACTTTCCCGAAGCCCTTCCAAATGTGGCAACACTACCGACGCAAACACACAACCATTAGGCCATACAAGTGTCCGCACTGTCCGAAGGCAGTGGCGTTTCGCAAAGATTTGAAACAACATTCAAATTTTTGCACGAAATCCTCCGATAGAGGGGATGCCGACCGCCGACTGAACTATGATACAGCGGATGACAGCCACGAGTGTTATATATTTGATTGCCAGCGAGTGTTTGCCGATAAGCCATCGCTGGCCAGACATACGATCGAAGACCACAAATACAGTTCGAGTACATATTGAATGGCAATTGTCTTAATCATTATCACTAACGAAACTAATCTCTTATCTATTATAGCGAACAATAAGTCATTTGCGTGCGATTGGCCGGAGTGTGGCCTCGCGTTTAGGCAATACCGCGCTCTAGAAATACACCGAAACAGAGACCATATAAATGCCACGTCTCACGTGTGCCGCCAATGCGGGGCCACTTTCCCGACGGATCTTAATCTCAAAGCACACCAAAAGAGATGCGTTGAGTTGCGACTGAAGAACAGGAAACGCAAAGCTGTAGTGGAGGACACGGATGACGACCACGACTCGCCTTCAGCCGCTCAGAAACGGCGAACGGGCGGTGAACTTGTATTTTGCTGCCAATACCCGGACTGCGGCCACGAGTGCGACACACAGTCACAGCTAAAGAACCACATCAACGACTCTCACTGCCCATCACTCCCACTACTTAAACCTCAGGCCATCATTCACTATCAGTATGGCTGCGAGTGGACGGACTGTCAGCGGCGGTTCAGACGTATAGGCGAACTCCAAGGCCACTACCGGACTGACCATAACTGCAAAAAGCCGTTCAAATGTCACAAATGCGACAAACATTTCCCGAAACGACACGCATTACTGCGACACAA